AAAAAAAAAAAAAGACTTGGGGATTAAAAAAGAGTTGAAGACACACTAAACACAATGTCACCCCACTGTGAAGTGAAGAGCTGAAAGAACTGAGAAGGGAACAACTTTCTAGATACACGATCCCACATTCCTTAACATAGGGTCAATCACCTCAAATACCTTAAGTTCATGTCCCAACTTCTGACAGTGAAGACCCTGCTTTACCCTCTTGGGTATGAGACAGGGTGAGATTCAGGAGTTGAACCAAACTAGACTCAAATTCAGCTGTAACTTACTGGCTATCCTGGCAAAGAACTTTACATTTCTGAATCTCATTTTCCTCTAATTGGGCTTTGTGGAGTTTTTGGTTTTGCTTTTTTGTTGTTGTTGTTGTTTGTTGGGAAGAGGATCGCACACAATGTAGCTCAGACTGGCCTGAACTTGAGGTCCTCCTGCCTCAGTCTGCAGAGGACTGAGATCACACACGTGCACCACCATGCCCGGCTCGTTTTCCTTTACTTGTAAAATGGGAATTAACAAGACCTGCTTCACAAGGTAGCTATGAACGTACAAGAGGTGCCAGGCGCGGTAACTCACACTTGTAATCCTAGCTACTTAGGAGGCTGAGATAGGGAGGATCGCGGTTCGAGGCCAGGCCGGGCAAATAGTTCACGAGCCTCCCATCTCCAAAATAACCAGAGAAAAATGAACTGGAGATGTGGCTCAAGTGGTAGAGCGCCTGCTTTGCAAGCGAAGAACCCTGAATTCAAATACTAGTCCCACTCCCCCAAAAAAGAAAAAAATACAGCAGTATACCTGGAGTATAAGTATTCAATAGATATTAACAACTATCATTACTCCTCTTCCAAACAAAAAGAACCTTGAAACACAGAGATGTAAAGGAAGCTCCCCAAGATGTCAGGATCCGCAGTACACACGCCCGCTGGCCCCTCCCTCGCGACCTAAACCCCCTGCCTCCCGCGAACTACAACTTTTCGCTCCTCACCTTCCCGCTGCCGGCAGGGCCCATGACCAGCTGTGCATACCGAGGCATGCCTGCTCTCAGAATTCCCGGTCCTCTCCGCCACACTCCTACAGCCTTCGCGCGACGCCCACTGAGTTCCGGGAACTCGAATCGCGAGCCAATCGCAATCCAACTTCCTTTTACGTCATCAGCACTGCCACACCTCCGACTACGGAGCGATCCGCGGCCCAAATCCCGTGACAATCGCGTGCTAAGAAGACGAGGGGAGCGGCCGGGAGGATTCGCGCGTGCGCAGAAGTAGTCTAGGGAATTTGGCAGTTGGGAAGCCCGCAAAGCCTGGTTGCCTAGGTGATAACCGTTAACGGACAATCTTCCGCACCCATACGCTGGGTGCACTAGTCCTTATTTGCGGCCTAACGTTTGACTTATAATGGTGACAAATAAGATTTGCAGATTTGCTGAGTCTGGAAGAGTTGAAGTGAAGAGACATCGTTTGTTTTAGGAAGCGTGTATATTCCCTTCCCCTCACGCATCCTTCCCAAAGAAAGATGCCTTAGGCGCCCGAGCGCCATCAACCGAAGGACTCCCGCCCCTCCCCCACCCGGACAGCGGGGTCGTGCTTCTGCCCCCCGCGCGCTCCCGAAGCGACTCGGGCCGTGTCCGGACGGCGTCGGAGGGGCTGGAACCCGGCGTCGCGCGCCACTTCAGCCCACTTCTCGGCGCCTGACGCACGCGTGCTGACGGGGTCGAGAACCGGGCAGGAGCCGCTTGCGCACACGGCTCGTGAACAGGGCAGCGGGAAGATGCCGGGCCAGGGTTTGGGGGCAGAATGGACCCAGTACAGCTCTTCCTCAGGGCTGTCCGCAGTGGCCGGGAACCAGGGTGGCGGCGGCGGGTGAGGCCGGGGTCCCCGCGGGTAAAGGGGACGATGGCCGGCCCCGAGCGTCGGGTGGGGCGGGCAGCTCTGGGACGCGGTGCCTGCGTCCCGAAGCGAGAGGAGGGAACCCTTGTTAAAGGTGCCGGGATGGGAAAGATGGAGGTGCCTGGCCGTGCCGGGGGAGGGTTTGGTGCAGTGACGAAGCGCGGTGACTGCGACAAGTCGCGGGCGTGCGTTTTTCTGCCCCGAGGGGGCGCAGCGAAGCCGCCACCATCTCTAGCCCCAAAGCGTGGCTCCACCTGCACCCCTGGCCGAGTCTCAGTTTTGTTTTTAAATGTCTTTGTTTTCTGAGACCGGGCGGGGGGGTCTGCCAAGTTGTCTTTCCACCCTCCTCTCTCAGCCTCCCGAGCCCTGTACTGTGAGGACCTGAAGATGCGACTAGGGGTTTATTTATTTATTTTGGTGGTACTGAGGTTTGAACGCAGAGCCTCACTCTTGCTAGGCAGGCACTCTACCACTTGAGCCACTCCGCCAACCCCCTTCTCCTTCCTCCCCCTCCTTAGGGTCTTTCGAACTCTTTCTCCGGGGCTGGCTTCGAACCCCCATCCTCCTGATCTCTGCCTCCTGAGTAGTTGGGATTACAGGCTTGCACCACTGATGTCCGGCGGAAACAATACATTTCAATTCCAGCACAGGTTAATTACTCCTCAGAAACCCAAGTTACTTTACTGGGCTGGCACAGTGCTCAAGTGGTAGAGCCCTGAGTTCAAATCCCTGTCCCACGAGAGTGAGAGAGAGAGAGAGAGAGAGAGAGAGAGAGAGAGCGCGCGCGCAATAAGGTAGCACAGGAACCCAAACCTACTTAATTGATTTGTTGGCTATGTAGGGGTTTTTTTTTTTTTTATATGACTGGAGTTTGAACTCAGGCCCTCTTGGTTGGTAGGTGGTCTATCAGTTGAGCCACCCCTCAAAGCCCCCCCCCTTTTTTTTTTAACTAAGGGCTCTTCACATTTGCAAAGCAGGTGCTCTGCTGCTTGGGCCACATCTCCAGTCCATTTTGCTCTATTTATTTTGGAGATGGGATCTTCTGAAGTATTTGCCTGGGCTGGCAAATCTGCAGTCCTCCTGATACCAGCCTCCCAAGTAGCTAGAATTACAGGAGTGAGCCACCAGTGCCCGGCCAGTTTGTTTTTCACATAAGGTCTCTCTGGTCCTTTTGTCTGGTTTGATCTCTGAAAAACCATCTTGTTACCTACTGTTTGCCTTATGTCTGGGATTACAGGTGCACCACCATAGCTGAGCTTATTGATTGAGATGAGATTTCCCTTTTTTGCCCCTGCTAGCCTGGAACCAGGATCCTCCTAATCGCTTCTCCTGAGTAGCTGAGCTTATAGCCATTAGTTACCATGCCCTGTGCTATGTAGTTTTTTTTTTTTGGGGGGGGCGGTAACTGGAGTTTAAACTCAGGGCCTCACACTTGCCAGGCAGGTATTCTACCATTTGAGCCACTCCTCCAGTCATCTATGTAGCTTTTTTGAGGCAGTGCTTCACCATATAGCCTAGGCTGGCCTCACACTCAAGATCCTCGTCTCAGCCTCCCAAATGCTGGAATTACAGGCGTGAGACACCTCTCCTGGCCATACTACTTAATTGAGCTCATTGTAGGAATTAGATTAGGAAGCTATGAAAGTGAAACCAAATCTGCCTTAAAATAAATCTGTTTTTTTTAGCTGGGTGCTCGTGGCTCATGCCTGCAGTCCCAGCTACTTGAAAGGCAGAGATCAGGAGGATTGCAGTTTGAAACCAGCCAGGACAAAATGTTAATGAGACCCTATCCTTGAAAAAACCCATCACAAAAACAGGGCTGAAAGAGTGGCTGAAATAGTAGAGCACCTGCCTAGCAAGTGTGAGGCCCTGAGTTCAAGCCTTAGTGCTGCCAAAACAAGAAAAAAATGTTTAGCATGGTAAAAATCTCAGATAACTTACCTCAGAAAAACCTGGAGCCATTAGGATTTAAGTAGAATTAGGGCAGAGAATTTGAAGACATTATTTCTGATGGAAACATGAAAAATTAAAAGCATATGTGGTCAGATGTGGAGAGGAAAAAAAAAGAAAAGCATATATAATGCTATCCCTTTGTTATTTGAATATGTTTTTTAGTGCTTATAAAACTCAATAATTAAATATTATTTATATCCTTTTTTAACAGATCAGCTGAGCATTCTTATTACCAGAGTTCCAAAGGTACTGGTAAGTAGTGCCTATAAAGCAGATGTGCATATAAAAGGTTCAAGAAGCCAATTTGCTTGTAGCCACCCACACAATGGAGTTTTAAAAATAGACTTTATTACCATCCCCAGGAAGCTCAGTCTTTTAAGATTTTCAAAGAACAATCTAGCAGGTTCTTTTTTGTTAATATATCTCAAGTCAACCATTTAAAACATTACCAATGAATTCTAAAAGAACTGTATTCAGAATTGATGTCTGAAAGCACAGAATACAGCTTGGGGGTTTATATATGGATGGAAGGAAAAATTCTAAACTGAACAGCTTCAAAGAGCATAAAATATTTCTCAATGCTAACACTTTCCTCTCAAAGGATAAAGCTTTCAAAATATTTACCTCTTCTATGCTGGACAAAAACAACCCCTAAAGGCCTCTTACTAATCTGGGGGGGGGTTATATAAAGGGAGGTGAGTTTACTGACCTTAGATGTATGTATGTAAATAAATATATATATTCTAAGTGTAGTAGTCATTAAATGTTTTATTTAATAATATGTAAACTTGGATTCACTTCGCTTTTCCATAGAAAATTTATAGTCTTTGCAACTGCATAAATATATACATATATATATACACACACGTGTGTGAGTGCATCTAAGTATATATACATATATATATATATATATATATATATACATATATAGCATGGCCATATTTATAGTGTATTGTACTGGGGTTGGTTAATTTAGATTCCTCACCAAAATTACTGAATTACAGTTAAATGTAAAAAAGAGTTGGGTATGGTGGGGACCACCTATAATCCCAGCACTAGGGAGGCTGAAGGTAGGAGAATTGAGTTCCAGCCAGCCTAGGCTGTATAGCAAGACCCCGCCTTAAACCCATACAAACAAACAAACACACAAAAAACCAAAAAGCTGGGCATGGTGGTTTACAGCTGTAATTCCAGCTACTTGAGAAGCAGGGGCAGGAGGATGGCCAGTTCGAGACCAGCCCTGGTAAAAGGTAGTAAGACACTGTTTCAAAAACAGAAATAGAAACAAAAGGGCTAGGACAACTGGTAGAATGCTTGCCTAGGAAGTGTGAGGCTTTGGGTTTACTCTCCACTGCCACAGAAAGAGAAAAAAATGTAAGAAAAGCAAAACACAAGCAGAAAACAAAATTAATACAACTCATATTTGGAAGGAAATAGAAGAATCTTAATAACTGTTAATGTATGAAATAGATTGATTTAATTTTACAAAAACAAAATTTTCTAAACAAATATTAAAATAAAAATGAAAAATTTACACATTTTAAAACTACTCAAAAATACTATATATAAGCTTAATAAAAACTCTTTTTAAGTGCTGGCAGAATGGCTTAAGTGGTAGAGCACCTACCTAGCAAGCATGAGACTCTTGAGTTCAAACCCCAGTACTGCCCCCCCCCCCAAATAAAACAAAAAAACTAAGCTGGGAGGTGTAGCTCAAGTGGTAGAGCACTTGCCTAGTATGCTGGTGGCCCTGCGTTCAATCCCCAGTAGTGCAAAAAATAAGCAGAAAACCCTGAAAGGCAATATATCAAAATACTTTAATTATTAGGTGGTTGGAGATGTTATTTTTACATTTAGTGTACTTCACAAATCAAAAATGAACGGTGCATATTGGTGTTCATAATTGGAGGAAAAAAGAGGAGTATGCAACAATTTTTTCCTCCATATTGAAACTTAAGTTCTCATCATATTTTTAATATAGAATTTAGCTAACTGTTTATTTATTTGTTAAGACTGGGGTTTGAACTCAGGGCTTCACTTTGTTAAGACTGGGGTTTGAACTCAGGAGGGCTTCATTTTATTTGGTAAGATTGGGGTTTGAACTCAGCTTCACATTTACAAAGCAGACATTCCACTGCTTGAACCACATCTCCAGTCCATTTTGCTCTGGTTATTTTAGAGATGGGGCCTCAAGAACTATTTGCCCCAGCTGACCACAAACCATGATCCTTCAGATCTCAACCTCCCAAGTAGCTAGGATTACAGGCATGAGCCTCTGGTGCCTAGCACTTTAGCTAACTCTTGACAGAATCTAGGTATTATTTACCCTGTCCTGTTTTATTGTTTGCAGCACAATGCCCAGCATAGAACATAATTGTAAATATTTGGCCACGAAAAAAAAAAAGAGCTAGTGCTCATTTACAAATGGAAGACATGGTCCTTTTATTTTAAATAAATACTTAATCATAACCTCAATCCTAGAAGCCCTAGAAGTATCTGGAAGGCTTGAGGCATGGTGTAAGCCATAAAGCACCTGCCTAGCAAGCACAAAGCCCCAATACTACCAATTAAAAGTGGGGGGAGGGCACTAGAAGCATCTGGATTCTAGGTCTGAGTTGAAGAGCTACCTTTCCCACTGGTCTGCAATAATGCGTGACTACACCTCCACCCCAATAATCAGTAGATGGATTTGAGGTGTCAGTGGTGGAATGAGATCACAATAAGCACCTCTCCTAGAGCCTGCTCCAGCCCAGTACAGACATGATGTGGCCAGGACAAAGAAGATTGGAATTTCTCACAGGTCAGCTGTCCCTAACATTTCCTGTGGTCCGGTTGGTGCCTGCTGATATGTGATCATTATTACTTTACGGTATGGGGGATGGTACTCAGGGTCTTGCAAATGCTAGCCAAGTATACTACCATTAAGTTCTACTCCCAGTTCCTGTTTTTCTTTTCTTTTTTTAGCAGTGCTGGGGTTAGAACTCAGGACCTTGAACTTGCTAGGAAGGCTCTCTACCGCTTGAGTCATTCCGCCAGCCCTTTTTTGTGTTGGGTATTTTCGAAATAGGGTCTCAAGGATTTTCCTTTGCATTTCATGACATTGACGTTAGTGAAGAATACAGACCAGCCCACACCAGTGGCTCATGCCTGCAATCCTAGTCACATGATCCCTTAAAAGCACAGAAGTTTCTCTGGCTAAGGGGAGGCAGATGTGGGAGAAAAGGGTTTGGTCTGAAGATGAGGAGGGCTCTATGTCAAGGAAACTTGAGTCCTCAGTCCCAAATCTGCAAGGAACTGAATAGTGTCAACAACTTGAATGAACCAAGAAGATTCTCCTCCCATAGTTTCCAGATATTATCTTAGGCAAGCCGACATCTTGTTGGCCTTGTAAGGTTCTAAGCAGAGGACCTGGCTGAACCATGTTGTACTTGGTCTTCTGGCCTATAGAACTATGCCCTGGTGTTGTTTGAAGCTATAAATTTATTAATTAGTTATGGCAGCAATAGAAAAAATATAGAGCCTTTTTAAAGTGGAGAACAGTACTTAGAAACTAGGCTCTGGGCTAGGAGTGCTTAATGGATGAGCATTGCTTCTAGCTGCAGAGCTAGGAAAGAAATGTGTGTGCATTTATATATAAGTACATGCATACTTATCCACACATAGCAGTGTTTATTTCTGTTTCTACTTTATATAAAAGCATATAACACACACAAATATACATACATACATACATACTATGGGGCTTAACGTGTAGCTCAGTGATAAGAGTGCATGCTTTAGGTTTGATTCCTACCACCAAAACAAAAACAAAAACCCACCAAACACCTATGGTAGAGAGCTTGCTTTGCAAGCATGAAGCCCTGGGTTCAAATCCTAGTCCCACTTAAAAAACAAAAGCCTACTAATTAGAGATCAGTGTTTGCTTATAGTACTTTTTGTTTGAGGACAATGTATACAAAAGTTCTTGGGTTAGGTAATAATTTATTTACTTACTTGTGGGGAAATATAAAATGGACCATTTTAACCATTTTTTGATGTGTATAGATGAGTGGCATTAAGTTCATTGACGTTGTATAGCCACCTTCCTAAACCAAAATGTCATCCAATGAGACTATACTAACTCCCTAGTTCTTCCTTCCCCCGCCTGTCACAGTCACCATTCTACTTTGTCTCTATGAATGTGACTTTCCTAGTGTATTAGTCGTACTTTATGTCACTGTGACTAAATACCTGAGAAAAGCTATTGAAGGGAGAAAGCTTTCTTTTGGCTCATGGTTTCATTGCATAGTCTTTGGCTTCATGTTGCTGTGCCTGTTGTGAGGCAGAACATCATAGTGGCCAGGAGTGTGTGGTGGAGGAGGCTCTTCATCTCATGAAGAGGGACTGGGACCAGGAACCAGATAGAACCTATAAAGGCATGTCCCACTGGCCTTCCTCCAGCTAGGTCCTGTCCCCTGAAGTTTTCAGAATCTCCCAAAATAGCACCGCAGCTGGGGAACAAGCATTGAATACATGATTTGTGGAGGACATTTCCTATTCGCAGCATAACACGTAGGTGGAAACATACACATATTTGTCTTTTAACTTTTTAAGTATTTATCCATTTGTTTTTTGAGAGTCTCACTATGTAGTCCAGGCTGGCCTTAAACTCTTGATCTTACTGCCTCAGCCTCCTGAGTGTTGGGATTACAGGTATGTGCAACCACACCTGCCAGTATGTCTTTTTGTGACTGGCTTATTTCACTTAGCATAATATAGCTAAGGTTCATCCATGTTGTGAATGTGTCAGCATTTCCTTTTTAAAGCAACAATATAATGCCCCATTATATGAGTATACCACATTTTATCTGTTTATCCATTGGTGAACACTTGAGTCTCACTTGAACAGTTGTTTTTTTTTTTTGGTGACAGCTGTCCTGAAGGGTGTGAAATGGTGTCTCATTGTTTTTGATTCGCATTTCCCTAATGACTAGTGCTACTGAGCATCTTTCTATGTGCTTATTGACTACTTGTAGATCTTCTTTGCAGACCTGTCTATTCAAGATGTTTGTGTGCTCCAAAACCAAAGGGCATATCACACATTCTCGTCATCTTTAACTATCTGGTGTAAAATATCACATTACTTCTCAGGATAATGGTTGATACATACAGATATCCACATATTATTAAATTTGTTGAACTGATCTTTGCCTCTGAAATTCACAAGAATGTCCTTGTCTACAGACAGAATCAAAGGTGGACACAAAGCGCACTCACACATAGGCAAGTTGCAACAGTTACGGAAAACTCCTCAAATTCAGACAATCCATATTTCTAAATCAACGATGGATGCATCCTTTCTAAAGGTAAGTGAATGGAATTTTTTTAAGGGGTGCCAAGGATCAAACCCAGAGCCTTATGCATGTTAAGCAAGCCCTCTACCACTAAGCTGTAGCCCCAGCCCAGAGCTGAACCTTTTATTCAAGATGATCAATTCAGAGAGAGGGTAAGGCACCAAAAATTACGAAGTGTCCTCTGCACACGGTCAATGAGTCAATAAGTATCTGTTGGGTAAAGTCCTGAGTGAGTGTAAGGATTGAGATTCCCTGTCTTTAGGGTGCATCTAGGGCTTCAGAGCTAATGTGTCTGTCCTCGGGAGGCTCAAGGACCCATCAGAGATGCTTAGGTTCCCTTAGAGAGGAAATCCAGCCATTGTCCTAAAGCCTTCACGCAAGGAATTAAAATTAGAAGCAGGAAAAGAAGATGGTAATTAGGATTTTATGAGTGTTGACTTGCACTGCTCATTAAAGAGCATAGCTATGAGAGCCAGAGATGGTGACATGTACCTATAGTCCCAACTACTTGAGAGGCTAAGGTGGGAGGGTTGCTTGAGTTCAGGAGTTTGAGACTAGCCTGGTGACATAGTGAGATCCCTGTCTGGAAAAACAAAAGACCAAATCTACTAGAAGTATCATCTCTAGAGCTATGTGAGTATGTGAATTAGATTTAATAGATTGCTGTATACTGGTAAACTTTCTGGTGAACATTTTGATACTTCTCTGGATTTATTACCTAACTATAAATCCTATGTGTATATACACATGCATATATAGTGGAGTCTTGCACCTTAAGTGAGCATTAACTTCTAAAATCAGTCAGTATACTTGGTCAAAATTACTTAGATTGGAAACCAACATACTATCCTTAAGTATGTCCAACACAAAGATTCTTCTGGTGCTGGAAGAGACTTCTGTTTTTGATGGCACTGGGGTTTGAATTCAGGGCCTAACACTTATTAGGCAGACACTCTTGCCACTTGAGCCACTCCACCAGCCCTTTTTTGTGATGGGATTTTTTTGAGATAGGGTATTGCAAACAATTTGCCTGGAGCTGGCTTTGATCTCTACCTCCTGAGTAGCTAGGATTATAGGCACCTGTGTCCAGTAAGACTTGTTTCTTTAGTTGAAACTAGAGTAATTGGGTTGCTTTTAAGTACCAAGTTATCCAAAAATCCTATTGAGAAGGCAAGATGCCCACAGTGACATGTATGTAGGTACTAAAACTGGCTGACAGAAGATTCACTCCTTCCTTGTTCCTATGGGATTCTTCCTTTGAGAACCTTGTTTCTTTGGTTCTCAAAGCTCAAACATCTGAATCACTTGAGAGGAATGGCAGGTAGTTACTTGCACCCTTTACATGGCCATTTCTTTTATGTCTGGCTAAGTTAACATAGTTGAATTTGCTTAAGTAAAATATACAGATGGTATATCTTTGTCAACATCACTCTTTCAGATAAGGAAGATTGCCAGTCTGTGTTTTACAGCACAGATGATAAATCTTATTTTGTCTTTTAGCATTCAGATCTCACCACAGGCCAGAAGCGTTATCTGTGCAGCATTGCTAAGATCTATAACTCAAACTATCTGAGGATGTTAATGAAGAAGCAGTACATGCACGTGATTCAACGCAGCTCACAAAAGCCAGGCAGGTGCACTTCCTGTTGGTTTCCCACTAGTCCTTACCAGAAGTGAGTTTTGACAGAGATGATTTGTCTGACAGGTACCCTCAGTCATCACAGGAGCCGCCTCAGCTCTCGCTCCTCACAGAAACATTCACCCTGTACTACATGGCGACACCAGGTGGAGAGAGAGGACTCTTCTAGCATTGAGGCCATATCTACATCTGAAATGATCATACAGCATTCTCTTTGGCGACCAGTGAGAAACAAAGAAGGGTCTGTTTCTTAACAGTTCCGAATTTTATACAAGGGGTAGCTACGCGATATTAAAACTTGGGTTCCCTAGTATGTTTGTTTTGCTAAACTCAGAATAGGATGCACAAAAAGCACAAAAGGTTTTTACTTTCTCTATTTAGCTGATTGGGATATGCTACTTCTTTTAGATATTTTGTGGAATAATAAAAACTTAGGATCAGCCAGAGATATGGACTGCCCTTTTCAGTATGTTCCCATTCAAATTCAAAATAATGCAAGTACTTTCAAAAGGAAAAGAATATGGTTGCTTCTGCACAGGGCAATTCTTACAAAACAAAAAAGGAAAAAAAGATTAGAAAGCCTGAGTATTCAAACTGTGCTATGCACATACGAATAAAATAAAATAAGAACTGTGCTATCACAGTTATCTTTGCATTTCAGGGTTGATAAATCACAGGCAAATGTGGGGGCTGAAACAGTTTCTTTGATAATGCTAGAAGCTAATAAAAGTAATTTGTATGTTGGGTACTGATGGATCACACCTGTGATCCTATCTACTTAGGTGGCTGAGATCTGGATGATCATGGTCAAGGCCAGCCCAGGCAGTTCAAGAGATACCACCCCCCCCATCTCCAAAATAACCACAGCAAAAAATGGACTGGAGGTGTGGCTCAGGTGGTAGAGTGCCTGCTTGGCAAGCGTGAAGCCCTGAGTTCAAACCCTAGTACCCTCCCTCAAGAAAAAAATATTTTGTGTGATTTTCCACATATATTAGGCATGTTCACTTTGCTTGCTCCAATTAAGATACTTCTCTTTATTATAGGTTAAAAACTGGATATGTGTCTAAAACAAGATGTAAATCACTAAAGATCTTTAGAAGACCAAGCAGACTGTTCATGCAACCAGGTAAATGTGGAATTTAAAATAATATATATGCATTTTTGAACATATGCTTAATATTTATTAAACCAAATAGTTTCTACTATGTCTTCATTAAAATTTTTGGAATGTGATCTACTTTGATTGCTACAAATAAAAAAACTAAATGTAAATCAGGCATGGTGGCACATGTACAATCTCAGTATTAAGCAGGTTGAGGCAGGAGGAACATGAGTTCCAGGTCAAACTGGGCTATATAGTGAGACCCTATCTCAAAAAACCCAAAACTTCTAAAGAATGAAATTATGTCATTTGCAGGAAAATGGATGGAACTAGAGATTATCATATTAAATGAAATAAGCCAGACTCAGAAAGACAAATATCGCAAGTTTTCTTTTGTATTTTGCATCTGGACCAAAAAATTTATGTATATGACATAAATGTAAAAGGGGGACAATTTGGTGGAGGGACTGGGGAGGCAGAGAGGATGATGGGGGCGAATATGATCCAAATACATTATATGTATGTATGAAAATAGCATAATAAGGGCTGGAGTTGTGGCTCAAATGGTAGAAATGGTAGTATTTGGCTAGAAAGCACAAAACCCTAATGAGCTCAAACCTCAAAACCACTACCACCACCATCCAAAAAAAAAAAAATATATATATATATATATGCGCTACGAAAATAACATAATGAACTTCATCCTCCAAAACCTCTAAAAATGAATAAAAGAGTTTGTGCTTTTTTTTTTTTTTT